TGGGGATATGTGAAATGTCTGTGTTTTATGTATAAAAGGTGACTTTATGTATTTTAAAGTGTTTTGTGTCTTTTGCAACCATGTGCTTAATGGAGTCTTGTGTCTGTCCTGGGAGATAATTGAATTACTTATCTCCAGGATAGAAGACTCTGAAACTGGTTTGGGCCAGAAAGCCATGCTTCATTTAGTCACAAAGGACTTTTTACTAGCTTTTGAACCCCTTGTCTGATTTGTGCCATTTTTGAATATGTTGTTCCCCTGAATGGATTGATTGTGAATATGTAATTTTATGTGAATGTGATGTATGGTTTTAGAGTTATGAAAGTTGGGTAGAAAGTATGTTTTTAACTGTATGTGTAATTGAGTTTCCTCTCAGGATAAGGGGAGGGAATATGTGGGATGTAACTGTGATGTGATTGGTTGTTTTATACCTCCCTGTGGGCAGTCCTGTATTTGCAAGACTGTAATAAAAACCAGGCTGGGTGTGCCAGCACCTCAGACCACTGCTTGACCCTCAACACGGAGCCTTGTCTCGTCTTTGGGGGGATTTACTGTATGCTGCTAAGGACTGATTGCCAGGAGTGTAAGCCGCTTGGAAGCTTTTCCTGTTCGCCTACTAGCAGCTATTCGTATGGTTCCTGTTCGTTTATTTGAAGTGCTACCTTATTCCCTTGTATGCCGTTCGGGAGGTTGGAGCATTCACTTATTGGCGGTTCGTGAGTTTTGGTGATTATTCAGTAGCTGTGCCTGTCTCTGAAAAGGGGATTATCGTCTAAGCGTTTTTTTCCCCTTTTATGCTAAACGGTCCGTTACACCTCCCCTCTGCTCGAGGGATAATTGGGAAGTAACTCAATTATCTCCCCGAGCAGAGGCAATCGCCATTTTAAACACAAGTCACAAAAACACATGAAAATCCATAACTTCATAACTGCCGAACATATTACATTCGTATTGCATATCCCCAGATAGCCTGGATCTGAGGGCACATTATTGGAGAATAGCGCTCAGATCCCATTCGCACAGTTCAATCGCCATGGAGTCAAAGTCTCTTTCAGTTCGTCGGTATGCGATTGACTCCATGGGACGGCTATCTGGGTTAAGTCCATTCGTGTGGTTGAATCTCCCGAACGGCTGGCATTCGTATACTTTTGTCGATTGAGAAGGGGAGGTCGACGGCTTCAGCGGTGTTCGGCTGAAAAAGTGTCCGTTTTCAGATCCATGAAATCATCGTCGAACACCGCTGGTCGTTCGCATGGACAAAATGGCCGCCGCCTCGTGGTCGACATACGAACGACGACCACCCGGCATTCGGTTTTTAATTGAGAAGTGTCCGTGGTTAACCGCAACGTTCTAATTGGGATCAATAGGTTAACCAGCAGCACACTTCTCTTCTGGGTGGCCGTCCGTTCGGTAGTTCCGTTCGACAAAAACCGACATTCCCTTGAATAAAGCATACGAATGGGGAAATTCATGTAACCGGCAAAACAGGCGAACAAAGCATTTGTAATCCAGACAGATGGGTCTGTCACAGACAGCATGCAGGCCTGGAACGGCCGAGTGATATTCGGCAAAACCCCAGATTTCGTACTGGAATCGGACGCCAGCCTTTGGGGCCGGGACGCCACAGGCGAGGGAGTATCGACAGGAGGAGCCTGGACTTCACAGGTACTCAACCTGCATATCAACTGTCTTGAACTACTGGCGGACTCCTTCGGCATATGCAGCCTGGACAAGGGACAAATCAGATTGTTGCATTCTCCTCAAGATGGACAACATCTCGGCCGTCCAATATATCAACCGCCTAGGCGGAGCTCGCTCACGACTCCTGTCCGAACTCACGAAAGATTTGTTCGACTTCTGCCTTCCACGCAACATCTCCCTCAAGGCGGAATATCTCCCAGGGGAGTCGAACCTCACAGCCGACTGGTTCTCTCTCGTGATTGGAGAGACGGCAGCGATTGGATGCTGGACCGAGAGACATTCAATGCCCTCACGCAAATGAGAGGACCCTTCCATCTGGACCTCTTTGCATCCCGCAACAACAGACAAACACCAGACTTCTTCAGCTGGCTCCCAGATCCAGAATGCAAAGCAGTGGATGCTTTCCTACAGGCCTGGCCGCCCTTCTGCGCCTACGCATTTTCCCCATTCGCTATGCTAGCGAGGTCTCTCCACTATCTGAAGGTACACCAGATTTCTCTGCTTCTGATTACCCCCCTATGGCAGAGTCAACCGTGGTTCCTGGACCTTCTAGCACTGTCTTACGCAGACCCACTCTTACTGCCTTCCCATCCGGCACTCCTTACGGATCTGAAGGGGAATCCTCAGCCGCTAATACTGGAAGAGAAACTCTCCCTGGTGACTAGGACTCTTTCCGGGGCACCTGGCAAGTCAGCGAACTATCGCAGACTGCTAGGGACCTCTTATGGGATTCATGGGCACTGGGGACGAGATTATGCTACCTCTCTGCTTGGACATCCTGGTCCGCTTGGTGCCTGGAATGGGACCTCGATCCTCTTACGGCACCTATTCCCACCACCCTGAATTTCCTGTTGTCACTGTTCGCAACAGGAAAATCTTATAGAACTATTAATGTAGTTCGTTCAGCGATATCAGCAGCACATACACCTATCCAAGGGATTCCGGCGGGTAAGGATCCTATGGTATGTCGACTACTGAGGGGCATGCGACTAAAATGGCCTCCGGCCCCCAAATACACCCACCTATAGGATGTGGACCTCGTCCTCACCTTCTTAAGAGAATGGCCACCTAACGACAGACTCTCGCTTCGCCAACTTTCTGCAAAAATGACGATGTTACTTTGCTTAGTTTCCTTTCATTGGGTATCCGACGTTAATGCATTAGAAGTCAACGCCTTTTTGATAGATCCTGAAGGGGTCACCTTCCATGTCTCCCGATGGACCAAATCGAACTCCTCCGCCATTTTTTACCCCTACTTCGCCGCGGAACCCCAATTATGCGTGGTAGCAACCTTATGCAGCTACGTGACGGCTACCGCCTCTCTTCGCCCGACTCCCTCCGGTCAACTACTGATTTCCTACGTCAAACTCTACAATCCAGTTTCCTCTACCACTCTCGCTAGATGGGTACGCTGGATCTTGTCACTGGTGGGCGTGGATGCCACTTTCGGGGCTCATTCGGTGAGAGGCGCGGCTGCTTCTTTGGCCTACGCAGCCGGAGCATCACTATCAGATGTTCTACTCAAAGGCGACTGGTCATGTGAATCCACTTTTCGAACCTTCTACTTTAAACCGAACTCCTGCGCTGCGTTTTCTTTGTTAAATCAGCGTTAAAAAATGCAAAATACCAAGCCTCCTGTCAAGTAATAAAATTGAAGATTATGCTAGCTTTAGTGTACTAATAATCTTAATTTTAATAAAGATAGGAGGCGAGTATTTTCCCACCCATACCCACCCTTTCGGTCTTCTGGTATCTCTTTACTGTTCCTTCTTCTAATTCCTCTATCCTTCTATAGGAAACTAGTCTCTACTCTACCCTCACCATTCCGACTATCCTACGTATATGGTGTATATCTCACATGTCAGGATTATTATACCTTGTTGTACTTTAGAGAGAGTGTTACCTATTACTAATGTATTGTCACTATAATACTATAGTCTTACATATATATGCTGTTCAGATGATTCCCATGTTTTTCATGGTCTTACGACTAGTACCTAACCTATTCCACATTCTCGTTTCAGCGTAACTCAACATGGAACTTTGGTTATATCTATGTGGACCATCCCAAGTTTATCCTAAATTGTTTGGATTGAATCTCCTGTTATAACGGATTACCCAAATTTACCCTTCACTCCACAAGGATTATACCGATTCGCTTGGATTGACTCTACGGTTACAGACCCAAGACTGGTTTTGTTTCTTAATTGTTTGAACTTTATCCGTCTGCGATGTCGCTAGTAGAAAAAGGCGGAGGAGACTGTTCACTAGGAATACCATACCTCCTACTGTTTTTTGATTTGTTCTTACTATCCTTTTCTTTACTGCTATGGAGTTTAGTAAAGAGAGTTATGCAAAATACGAAGCCTCCTGTCTTTATTAAAATTAAGATTATTAGTACACTTAAGCTAGCATAATCTTCAATTGCATGACGTAAAAAATAGTTTCAGTCGAGCCACTTCGCCCAAAAATAAAAAGTATTTAAGAGAATAGCTGATTGTCAACTCCATGGCAGTTCAGCTCATCCCAATTTCATTAACAGGAAAAGAGTTTGGAAAGCAAATCAGACAAACCAAAAGGGCCAATCAGTGTATTTTGCAGTTCGCTGGTGCATTTTCCCACCATTTAGTTCGCAGATCAAGTTAAAAATCGTGGCCAATAGAGGGAAATAAATAGGAGAAGCAGTAAAACAGTATCTGTTTATATTTATTTATTTAATATCATATACGATATATAAATAGAGATATTTATTTAATAATATATATGATATATAAATAGAGATTTTTATTTAATGTTATATATGATATATAACTAGAGATATTTATTTAATATTATATATGATATATAAATAGAGATATTTATTTAATATCATATACGATATATAACTAGAGATATTTATTTAATGTTATATACAATATATAAAATGGGATATTAATTTAATATTATATATGATATATAACTAGAGATATTTATTTAATATTATATATGATATATAAATAGAGATTTGTAATTAATGTTATATACAATATATCAATAGAGATATTTAGTTAGCATTATATACGCTATATAAATAGAGATATTTATTTAACATTATATACGATATATAAATAGAGATATTTATTTACTATTATATACGATATATAAATAGAGATATTTATTTACTATTATATATGATATATAAATAGAGATTTTTTGTACTATTAAGTACGATATATAAATAGAGATATTTAATATTATATACGATATATAAATAGAGATATTTAATATTATATACGATATATAAATAGAGATATTTATGTAATATTATATACAATATATAAATAGAGATATTTATTTAATATTATATACGATATATAAATAGAGATATTTATTTACTATTATATACAATAGAGACATTTATTTACTATTATATACAATATATAAATAGAGATATTTTTTACTATTATATACGATATATAAATAGAGATATTTAATAATATATACGATATATAAATAGAGATATTTATGTAATATTATATACAATATATAAATAGAGATATTTATTTAATATTATATACGATATATAAATAGAAATATTTATTTACTATTATATACAATATGTAAATAGAGATATTTTTTACTATTATATACGATATATATAGAGAAATATTTAATATTATATACGATATATAAATTGAGATATTTATGTAATATTATATACAATATATAAAGAGATATTTATTTAATATTATATATGATATATAAAAAGAGATATTTATTTAATATTACATATAATATATAAATAGAGATATTTAATATTATATACGATATATAAATAGAGATATTTTTGTAATATTATATACAATATATAAATAGAGATATTTATTTACTATTATATACGATATATAAATAGAGATATTTAATATTATATACGATATATAAATAGAGATTTTTTTTTTTTTACTATTGCTCCTTTTTCCTACTTTTGTTTACTTCTCATTTGATCTGTGAATAAAATCAGGATTTAGCAGCTTTTTCCTATTAACCAATCATT